AAGTGTTGATATAAAACAAATTCGCTCCCAAACTAAAACCAACCCAAGCCACCAGGAGGGGAAAAACCAACAGCTATCCTGCCAGCCCTAGCAATTGTTTCACGGTCGGAATTAAATCACATCAAAACGCCCCCTGAAACCCCACATCCTGAAGGAGCGAACCTACAACGGCCAACCTCCAGTCGTTCGCTCGAGTTCACACAACAACCTGCCTCTACATCCGAGGCAAGGGGGCGGCGGTGCTTCTCTTGCGCCGCACCCACCACATCCCGGACCTAGGATCCCACTCGCTGCACCCGAAGAGGCGGCTGTTTGTGTTAATAGTAACCCCCACTCCAATTAGAAGAGACTGCCTGGCTACCGGAATGCCTGTGCCAGGAGCTACACCGAACCTATGGGAAGGGAGGAACCTCTTCCCGGGATTACCGCGCCGCCCCCCACCCCCCAGCCCCCGCTTTTTTCCTCAGGAGAGACAGACTTCACCTGGGAATGTCAACCTCCTTTCCTGACAGCTTAAAAAAAGGGGGGGGGGAGCCTGATTTTTAATAAAGCCATTTTTAAGAACAGCCCATCAGAAAATCTGCAACAATGCCAGAGACAGTCAATATACGCACACCGTAACTTAACAGCCACGCAAATAGAGCCAGGCGCTAAGTGATTTCGTTAGAAACAATGTTTCCAAAGAAGAGGGTTACAGGAAAATCCCAAACGCAGCCACCTACCCTCAGCCCTTCTAGTAAACAATTCCCACTAGTTATTGTTCCAAAAATTCCCATCTTCTCTCGAGCTGCTAATCTCCAGGACACCTGGAGCTGAGCTCCAAATGATTCAGGGAGTCCGGATAATTAACATGAAGGAGAAAATGGGAATTCGAATTAGTTGCAACACTTAAACAGGGGGGATGTAGGAGTCGTCATTTAATCTCTCCTTGGCTTCCAGAAAATACCCTCTGGCCATTCTGCGTGCCGCCTCCCCCTCCGGAGTTTGATGAAAAGGAACGTCTACTCTGGCTGCTTTGATGAAACTGCATCTTCCAGTTCTTTTCCTATCAGTCAAATTGGCAGTTATAGGAGGAATTTTGACTTTGTTTTGCCATATTGATTTTACAAAAGGGGCTATAAATGTCTGACACAGCTACACATTCACATCTCTGGGACATTGATCCGCTCTGGTGCCTAACTTCAGTGGAAGTTACATAACTACCAACATCCAAAAACCAAAATTTGGATATCTTCCCAAACTTATTATTACCTTACAAACACCATGTAGCAGAATATTATTTTTGTTTTTCTTGTCTAAGACATTGTCAGCTATTTAAAAGTAAAACTGTTTTACTTTTCTGACTGTGCCCAAAGGTACCAGGTAGAATCTACATGTGACCACTGGCCATCTTCTGTGGGACAACTGAACCCTTTAAATGGTAATTTTTAAAACTATTTTCCAGTTCATGCCCCCCTCAAAGTAGTGGTTATCAGCAAAGTTTTAGACGCTCATTTAAATCTCTGTTAAAAAATCTTTACTTATACAATGTCCAGTAGCCTACAATTTCACCCTTAGGAAAAGAAAAGTGATCTTTGTTTGATCGTTCATATATAGAAGAACTGAAGTCTGATTCTGTAGTGTTTTCCTTATTTTCAATTTCAGGGAGATGGAGATACATTTATTCCTGGCCCCTGTTTACTGTTCTGAGGTTTTAGAGATGGCAACTTCATTGGGTATAATAATTTTGCCTGGATTTTTAACTGGGGATTTGAGAGCCAAGGGACAAAATGTAATGTGTTTTCAAACTTCAGCTACACTTATACTGTAAATTTCACAAAGCATCTCCTTAAAAGTCCTGTCTTTGTACAAAATGCATCAAAGAGAGGGTGAAGACTTGGGGAATTTTTGAGGTTGGATTCGGATTTGCATCCTCAAGGATCCCTTTCAGCGCACAGTCCAGGGTGCCAGAGACTGCCTCCCTCTTCTGGCTTCACTCTCCTAGGTTTTATTTCTTCTTCTTCTCCTTTACCTTCCTTTCTCCCTTCTTGCGCTGTCTTTTCATTCTCTAGGAGGTATCTACATACTGCTGCGTATATATCCGAACACCCTCCAGAGATCTGAGTTAACTCTCCCTGCATCCCATAGTGAAGACGCAAAGAAAGAGATACTGTTTAAAAGCGATAATTAAGATCCAGTCTTCAGTTCCTTCTTCGTCCCATTTTTCTCGGTAAGCGTGGAGATTTTATTTTCATTAGCGTGTGTTCCCTCATCCCTTGTCTCCAACTGGCGTGTGTGATAGTATGTTTAGTAAAGCCTCAGCTCTCTTTTCTTTATTTTTCTTGCTGCTGTTCTCGCTTATTAGGTGAGCAATGTTAGTTATATTTTCCCCTTTTCCTTCTCTCAGTCCCCAATTCCCGCCTCATCCCCTCTGTCAGAGCATCTATCAATGTGGTATGGATCACAGCGGCGGCGGCTTTCTCTTTCATCTTTTCCCCCCGCCTGAGCCACGGAGGGAGAGTGGGAGGCGGAAAAGAGGTGGAGGAGAGAGACTGGCAGAGGACGAGGAGTGGGCGCGTGTGGGCAAGATACTCAGATGATGAAGTTAAGCCATTCTAGCAGAGTTTTTTTTTTTTTTTTTTTTTTTTGTCAATTTCACGCAGGGGGAAAAAGTGCCTCCCCGTGGGTTACAAACAGCGCCTGGTCCTTCCTTCCTTCAAGGAGTTGCCTGATCCTTCCCTCCAGTGGCGCGCGCGCGGACACACGCGCACACGCACACACTCCCATACCCCCAAACTAGGACTCGTCCTACAGGCTCTGGGAAAAGCAATAGTGGGGGGGAGCCCTCAATCACCACCTCCTTCTCGCCGTCTGCCCCGCCACCTCCACACACTCCAGCGGGCAGCCAAGGAGAGCGGGAGGCGGGGGAGGGGAGGGGGAGGAGAAGCGACGCATGTGGGTAGCTTTTCAGCGCCGCCGAGGCGCGGGAGGAGGAGAAGCGGTGGGGAGGTGCTGCGCTCACCTGCGGGGCAGGGCGCGGAGGAGGGACCCGGGCGGTGAGGTCTTGGGCCGAGGGGCCAGGACGCGCCCGGAGCCTCGCCAGCGATCACGCTCAGGGTTTACCCCTCCCGTCGGCCGGGCGAGACCGTGGGGCAAAGCAGCTCTTTGCTTTGACAGAGCGGAGGCGTGGAGAGCGGCGAGTGAGAGCCAGCAAGCCAGGCTGAGAAACTCGAGCTGGGAACAAAGAGGGATCGGGCTGTGTGTGTGTGTCGGCTCGAGCTCCGGGCAGAAGCTTTTGGGCCCGAGGCTCCTGCTGTGACTCCCCAAGACCCCGCCGAGCCCTCTAAGGCCTTTTCCCAGCGCTCGCCGGCAAACTTTATTCTTGGCAAACTTCTGGTCTTTCTCTTCCCCTCCTCCTCCTCCTCCACCTCCGCCTCCTCCTCCTCCTCCTCCCCCTCTTCCAGCAGATTAAATGCTCCGCAAGAAGGAAAACCGAAGCAAAAGGGAAGCAAATAAGAAGCTCTAAAACGGACATTTCCAGTTCGGTGGCTCTTTATTTTACTTTATCTTTTTACCCTTCAGGAAGTGGACTTTTCATTATCTTCTGATTCTCTTTAAACCTCCGCTGGGGCAAACGGAGCCATTTGGCCCAGCTCGCTTCTCCTTCATCGGAAAACAAACTACTAAATCGGCATCCGAGGAATCTACGGTGGGGAGGTTTGCGCGGAGCCGCGCCGCCGGACTCTCTCTTCTCTGGGGTGTGCTGACCCCTCCAGAACCGGTGTCTTCCGCGCACACAGGCCGGCGGGGAGCTTGGGGTGGCCCGCCGGGCCAGGGCAGGCTAGCCCAGCGCGCGCGGAGCCGCGCAGACGCCCCCAGAGGCGCCAGCTGCGGCTGCCCTCGCAGTCCCGTGCCCTTCGGCCTCAGAGGCGGGCGCCGGCGTCTATCTCCGCGAAGCGGGAAAGCGCAGGCGGCCGCCAGAGCTTGGGCGCCGCCGCAGCTGCTCTGGCTGCCGGCCGGCGGCCCCGCGCTCGCCTGCCTCGCTTCCGCCCGCAGTCCTCCCTCACGCATCCAGCTCTCCTTTCCCTCCCCCCACCCTTGCATTGACCCCCCTCTCTTTCCTGCTGTCGCCGCGGGTGCTCCCACAGCGGAGCGGAGATTACAGATTCGTCGGGATGCCCCAACTCTCTGGGGGAGGCGGCGGCGGCGGGGGGGACCCGGAACTCTGCGCCACGGACGAGATGATCCCTTTCAAGGACGAGGGCGATCCCCAGAAGGAGAAGATCTTCGCTGAGATCAGTCACCCCGAAGAGGAAGGCGACTTAGCCGACATCAAGTCCTCCTTGGTTAACGAGTCCGAAATCATCCCCGCCAGCAACGGACACGAGGTGAGCGGGCCGCTGCCCCAAGTTCCCGAGAGGCGTGGTGGGTCTCGGAGAAGCGCAGAGAGGGAGGGAGCCAAGGCGCCGGCAGTCCCGGGTGACTGCTCCCGAGTAGTTCCCTTGTCTGTAGGGGCGTCGGGGAAGGGCTGGATCCCTGGTTGATATTTTCGGTGGGTGTGCGGGATCGGAGGTGGAGGGATGTGCAGGGAAACTTATTCCCAGTCATCAGTTTAGGGGTTCGGTGGCCAAGCGGTTGGTTTACAGGCAGGAAATGTTTCCTTTAACCCATAACGTTTCGCCTTCGGACTTTTTGGTGGAGTGAGGAGTGCAATGAATTAAAGCGAGGTCTGAACAGTACTACTGGGAAATCATCCGTAGGACGGAAAACAAAGTACACCCGCTATCTTTCTCGGTACACGTCTGCAAAAGTGCGTTAAACCACCAAAGGCTTAGACGAGCCGAGCCAGAGGCGGGAGGAAGGAGAGGCGGGCGTGGGCCGGGGGCAGGCGGGGCGGTCCCAACCGCCGTGGAGCAGGGCCCGCGCAAAGCCGGCCCGTGGAGTGGGCGCGCCGGCTCTGCGGGGGTGGTGCGGGGCCAAGTCCCTGCAGCCACTGGAGCCCCAGCGCAGGCTGCACAAAGCTGTGGGCGCGCGGAGCCCAGCCGCCCCAAGAGGACAGATTCCGCTCGACTGCCTGCACCCCTTCACTTAAAAAATACAAAACTTTATTTGGGGTTAGTTGGGGCCTACATCAGGCCTTCAATCTATGCAGAAGAAAGGCGAGCCCTAGTAGAGAAGCGGCGGAAATCGGGCACCGGTTAGGGAGGGTGGAAAGCGCTTTATCAGATCTCCTGGCCAGCTGCAGGCGATAGCGCTGGTAACCCGAGTAGGGTAAATAGAGACACGTGGGTGCCGGCGAGAGAAAGCCGCAGCGGGACTGCGCGGGAGGGCTATTTCGGGCTGCGCCCAGAGGCTCAGATGAGGTGGGGGGATGGACCCTGATATTCGACACTCCACTGGCCACCCTCATTCAACAACTGGGAAATCCTCCGGAGGAAATCCGGTCGAAAAGTCCTGACACCCAAATGATTTCACCAACGTTTTTCCCCTTCAGAGAAACTTGGAGGGTATACCCTTTTTCCTTAAATGGCATTACTTCTGCCCCCAAAAAGAAAGCGCGTGGTTTTGGGGGCGGGGACATTATGGGTTTTAAACAACACGTTTTAAGAACACCTCAGAGTTACCTTCTCTATCCCAATGGCAGGGGTGAGTATGCATTTTGTAAGGCTGGGGGCTGGGTTCCGAGGAGAAAGGAAGGGTGTTCTTTATCCGTCTGGTCTGGGGAGAAGGACACTGTGTTGGAAACAGACAACCCCAGGTGTTAGGGCTCTGTTAATCTTGTCGCGGCGGTAAGTTGGTGAACCGACCCAAGAAAGATGGTGATGGGGTAATACCACTGATTTGCACGTGGTTGAGCCAAGGTGGATGGTGGTTTCCAAAACTGATATTAACTGGGCTACCTTTTAGATGTCTATAACCCGACTCTCAATTTTTCCTCTCTTTAACCACAGATCAGTTCTACTTTTTTCTTGCAAGCCTGCAGTCAGCCAGCCATAGTAGGTCTTAAGCCATAGTGGAACTCCAGCTCTTAGGGCTATTTCCTTAAGACCCCATTGGAGTGGTTGACTTGTTCATATTAAAAATGCCATTTTCAGTTGCAAAATGATATTTCAGCCTGCTTTAATCAGCTCTAATTGAAATGAACAGTGGTTGAAGAGGCTATCAAAACTATCAACGCCATTAACTCCCACTCCTCTCCTATTAGGCATACAGGAACCTTGACAGATTTTAATAAACAGCAGTCAGAACAGCTTGTGAGTTGGTCCCAAATTTACTATATTTTTGTTCTTTTTACTTTTTGGTCCCGAGAAGATAATAATCTCTCAAAAATACATGTTGGAAAGAAAAAGACTCCCTAGTACCCAACTCTAGCTTATCCTTAGATTAATAAAACAGGTAGATTGAATTGCACCTAAACCTCTTTCTTTGAGTTTCCATTGGACACACTGTCACAAACTCTAAGGTGATTTTCTTTCTTTTGGGGATGGGGATTGCTATTAGGTGGCCAGACAAGCACAGACCTCTCAGGAGTCCTACCACGACAAGGCCAGAGAACACCCTGATGATGGTAAGACTGAATTCTACTTCCTCCAGCTTTATCATAGAACCTGTGGTTTGTGTATATAAGTTTGTTTTGCTGCTTTTGCATTTAGGAGACCAGGACCAGGTGTGATAAGATTATTAATGCCCACTATCATAACAAAATAGGAAAGAAAACCCAGGAAACTTACTGGTTATCTCTAATGTGTATTACATCATTTAAGAACTATCTTTGAATGAGTTATGGACCTTCGGATTTCAACTAGCTTCCAGATTCTTGAAAAAGGAGGAGGGTTTATAATAGATTTTTCTTTTAAACAAAAATAGTTCTGAATGGATTTTTGCTTGCGAAATTGCTGTTTCTAGTTTGTTACAGTGAGAAGGCAGGCAGTGAATGAACAGTGAACATGGCTCAGTAAAACAGAATCTAGCTTTTAAAATATAAAACTTACAGCTAGGGACTATGCAGATAGGATAGACTTTCTCTCCATTTCTGATTCTTGTTAAAAGATATATATATATATATATATATATATATATATATATATATATAATTTTAAATTTAAGGACAGCTCCTGTGACTTGGAAAGGAATAAGATAACAGGTAGGGTTTACTTGTTGCCCAGTCTGCATTTTAATTACTTAAGTCCTTTAATTACTTAACAATTGGCCTGACCAGAATGGAATCTAAAATATATACTGTATTTTAACCTGGAGAAGAAGGGTTGAGAATTACATATTAGGGTTCTTCTCAGTGACAAATAGTTGTACAAATTGAAAGGAAGAAATCTGTAAATTGAACACACAGATTTCTTTGGTAGAATGATGTAAGTGTAACACATAAAATTAAGCCTTCCAGAGTTACTCCTTTCATCGCTCAAATACTAGATACAACTCTCTTCCTCAGCAAAAATCTAGAAATTTTCTAGAAATCTAGAAGCATAGATAGAATTTTCTTAAAAGAAAAAGGATAACTTCAAGTGTATCAATATATACATGTATATACACAGATGGTCTAATACATCACAGTTTCAGGTTTGTGTGTTTTTCTTCATGTTTCTGTATTTCTTAGGCTAGTTTGTTAGTATTAGAACAAATTAAGTTAGATGGATAACACTTATTATTATAAAAACATCAGTCAGTTGTGGAAGTAAATTGAAACATATGTTTTTTAAACATCTGGTTTGCTGCTAAGTCATTTAAGAGAATAAATACTGTCAATCTAAAATAGAGCATAATAATCCAGTTATAGTATTTTATAAACAAATCTTTTATGGAAAGTCTGATTTGCCTTAGAACTGTTAGATTTTCTGATGAAAAATATTGTGCTATAAAAAGGGAGTCAATACATCATTGATTGTTCTTTGGATTCTCTCAGGAAAGCATCCAGATGGAGGCCTCTACAACAAGGGACCCTCCTACTCTAGTTATTCTGGCTACATAATGATGCCAAATATGAATAACGACCCATACATGTCAAATGGATCCCTTTCTCCACCCATCCCAAGAACAGTGAGTAACATGCTGATGTTGCAAATTATTTTCTGAAGTGCAAATTAATTGGTATTTTGGCAGAATGTTTATTTTTTCAAACACATTGCAAATGTTTTCGTTATATATGACCAGTCATTGCTCAATAAGAGCTGTTACAGGGACTGGCTGCCTTAAAATAGTGCCATGTTTGATGTCTTGCATTTGGAATTTTAGCTTTTGGCTTATTGGTTTGAGATTAATAACATATCACATGTTACAAAATCAAATGAAGTTAAACCAACAAATCTACTATTTTATAATTATTGTGCTTTCTGTGCCGAGGATAGGAAAATTTGATTCAGTGTTTTGAGTTAGCCAAGGACCGAAAAGCTGTTGATGCTCTTAAGATATCTAGAATCAGAATGGTTTAGGCTCATTTGGAGCTGGACATTCACATTGCTTCTTTGACTTTTAAAAGTGCCTTATTATATTAACTATTAGTTTTAATATATTTTGTGAATGGCTGATAATCTATTTTTACCTTATTGTCAATTGTTGAGGAAGTATCATTTGAAGATTACCTAATGAAAGTTATTCTTCTGTCTTGTGGTTAACTTTTGAAGTTCTAAAAATGCATTGGCATTATAACTGCGTTATGCAAATGCATAACGTTATGAACAATTTCATGCTTGGTACTGAATGATATTTATCTTTTCTTGCAAAGTGGAAGTCTCATTTGTGTAATGAGAAAATATCTAAGTAGTAACTTATATAGTATGTGAACATGATGTGTGTTGTGGGCATGGAATATTAAGTGATCCATCAGTATATAAACTTTCTTTCCAGTCCTACTATCCCTCCACTACCCAACCTCTAATGAAAGACACTTAATGTATATGGCTTAGGGTTTCAGTCTCACTGGCTCTCCTGATATCCAGATCTACATTGAAAATGGAGCCTGAGATCTTTCCCATTGGTTCTACAAACTGAAAAAAATCAGCCACAAACATCTGGGAAAACTGATGGCATTAATGCCTCAGTAGACAGAATCAGAGAATGAGAAGGTTCACCAAAGTAGCTGAGGGAAATGGCTGGTAGTCAACTGTTAACACCATGCGTAGTGATTGTCTTCATTGTCTGTAGCCCTCAATGTAAACTGAAAGGTATATGAAATATAATTACTTTGTATGGGCACTGCAAAAATATCACAAGGAATATTTTATCTCTTGGAATAAGATTTTTCTAATTTTAATACTGCAGCTAAAATGGAGATTTTGGGGATGTAATCTTGGCGATTTTGGGATGGTTGCCATAGGAAAAAGCTATTTTGTATTTTATTTTAAAAAGCTTTTCAAATATTTAATGTCTGTGTAGTACATAGGAATTTTCTACCTAAAAATGAATTAATTAATAAAAAATATAGTTTACCGCTTAGAGACTGCCCCAAATAAATGCTTCTGAGTTTCAGAAAGTTGTAGAAGTTTATATCTGTTGGACTAGATGTGCAAATATATCAGATATTGATTTTATAGTTGCACACACTTTTTGTTTTGGAGGGGTAGAAAGGAAACAAAATATGTCTAGATAACAAATTATTGAATATTTCTGTTGTTAAAGACTTTTTAGAACAAATAATGTTTCCAAATCAAATTATAGTCTTGATAATAATGGAAAATAGCCACTGAATTTTATCTGTGCACACAGTACATATTTTGAAATGTATTCCTTAGACCAGCTGCTTCTCCTTTCAAGCAATAATTTTTGAAAAGTCAGTATAATAAATACTTATTGGTCTTTGTAAACAGTCCCTAAGAATATTGTATGTTAAGCATCTCTTCCTCTTTAATCGAGAATTCTGCCTTACGTCTCTGCAGACTTTTCTCCTGATCCTCCAGAGTACTCATCATTTTAAAATTTTGATAGAATGGAAGGCATTTTTTTTGTTAGTGTATATATTAAAATTTTAAGATCTGTGAATCAGTCATTCATTGCTTTGGAAAGATGTGTGGCCAAAATAAATGGCTATAGATACAGGGTAGAGAAACAGAGTATGATGAAGAAAGGCTTATCTTACCCTGTTACCTCATGCTTTGCTTAATCTGTTACATATTAGAATGTATTTTTTAGGCGTATTTTCTTGAGATATTTTGTAGTTTGCCCACTTCCAGAGCTTTTCAGTTTAAACCACAGACTAAATTGATTTTTATCTATTTTTCAGAGTACAATGAAAGTTATAATTGTCGGTCCCTAATACCTAACAGCTGTTTTTAATGTGTCTGAGATCAGGAACACTTTAACGGGAAAGTAGCCCCTCTTCTTTACCCCCAACCACACTCTGCCTTCTTGGTCTTTAATTCTGTCCCTATCAAGACTTGAGTGTATCACTGACATCCACAATGACAGACTTACATGGAGAGTGTGAGGAATGGAGTGACCATTTGTGTTTGGACTTAGGGTGGGAGCATCTCTGTGACTTGAATTTGCATTACAAACAGCTGCTTGTTTACTGCTTCTGCTCCCTGGACTTGTTCAGACTGGAGTTAACATCTGGGGGTGGGGGAGGGACCAGACCACCCCTTCTCTGCATAGTCTTGTGTTTGTATATAACTAGGTAATCCTGAGAATTCCAGCTATGACCAACTAGCACATACAGAAATGTTTCTGCTGGAATCTCATTGTAACAATTCTATCTGCTTTTGCACTTTTTCAGACAAACACTGGCATAAGCATGCTCACACAGGGACCTACATACTGCATTATCTTTTCAGGAGAACTGTCTTCACCCATTCAGCTTTTATCCTTTTGAGGGGAAGTTTTAATTGGCAGATTACCTCTTTCTAGACTTGGAATTCTTATGGATATGATCATCTGCATAAGAAATCTTATGAATGGCTCTCTATGGAATTTTAAATAAGAATTCTTCATTCAGCTAAATTGAGCCTAAGAAAGCACCTATGACAACACATTTGGTGTCATTGTGAGCTCCAAGGCACAGTAAACTTTGGCTTAAGTTGGTTATCTGCAGAGAAGGATGATGCAGAGGCCTATTAAATATTTCAGAGTGAGGAACCTGGAAGGTTTATTAAAAGCATACTCCCAAACCTTTTTTTCCTCTGAACCTTATTTATGAAAAATCCCTGTAGGCCAGTGGTAAAGTATTAAAAGAAAAAAATAATAGGTCTTTATATCCCCAAGGTTGGTCCTGGCAGTTGTGTGCCTGAACACCTTGTGAGCTTGCCTGTATTTAATGTAGCAAAAGTTCCCATTGGTTTAATGTCCTATGGGTATTCATCTTGGGTGTCTGACTTCCATTTGTCCCTTAGCAGCCAGATGGTTAACACCTTAGAAGAAAAACCTCATGTTTCTCTCATGCTCAGGAGGGAATGCAGGAAGCTGAGCCCCCTTGCTGCTGAGTCTCCTCAGACCACAGCAGCCACCTGGTCAGTGTGGTGCTGAGAACTTTCATTGTTTCTGGTTCTCTGTGATCCTTAAGAGTGAATTTTTATGTGGGAAAGGGAGATATTTGTGTTCTCATTTCAGAATTTTTTTAAGTTGGGGTTGCTATGAAAATGCTGTAGGAATTTGTTTTTGATTACTTAAGAATAGCTCAGTTACATTGTATGCCTTTTTTTAAAAAAATTATTTTTTAGTTGTAGTTGGACACAATACCTTTGTTTTATTTATTTATTTTTATGTGGTGCTGAGGATCGAACCCAGGGCCTCAAACGTGCTAGGCGGGCGCTCTACCTCTGAGCCACAACCCCAGCCCTACATCATGTGCCTTTTACCATAGGGAATCAACATTTTGATTTCTGGTTGACAGAACCATACATATTATAACTGTCTTACCCCCACGTGTTTGTATTTACATACAAGTAGATGAAATTTGATTTTTTCATTGTTCACATCCAGAATTAAGGACTTGACTAATCGCTAAGTTTCTGAGTGGCACTGCTTATCACTGTTACATAGCTTTTGAAATGAAAAACTTAAGGAGAGAGACTGGCTTATCTCTTGCAGGATTTTTAAAAGGCTCTCTTCATTTTACTGCAAGAAACTACTTAATTTGACTTACTGATAAATCATAATTTCTCTCAGCTGTTTAATTTTTGAAGCTAAGTATATTGAGTTTTCCCCTTTACCTCAGATGTAGGGTAAGTTTTATAAAGTATATTCTAGGTCACTTTTATGAATGTCAGGAGAATGTGGGGAAAATGCCCCAGACCTCCAACTCTTCTGTTTGATCCCTTCTTAATTGCACTGTTGTGAAGTTGGGAAAGGATCATAGTCAGAAGAATTGGCAGCTCTTGCCATCCCTCCATCAGATATCTTAAATATACTAACAGTTTGCTTGTTCAGGTATCCCAGAGAGTCATACACATGACTCAGGAGCTACTGTTCCAATTATAGGACTGATCTTTACTCAGATATGTGTTTTGAAATGACCCTTGTAGTTTCTTGTTCATTCATAAAGACATGAGAACAATACAAGACATTTAGTAACTTTACTAAAAACAAAACTTTGAGCCAACCTGTTAAAATTCCTGCTTCTGAAGTAGTGGGCTGGGCCCCCATACAGGGCTCTCATCAACCCCATTGTTCTGACTCAGTCTACCCTATGGACCAAACCTCTTGTGTAATTTGATAAGAGATAGGACTTTACAGGTGTGTCTGTCTGGACTTGAACTTGAGACTCACAGGTGCTTTCCCCAATGTTTACTGGGTTGAATGTTTTAAAACTAATTTTGTTTGTTCTTTAGGCAGAACCATTTTGGATTTTATGTGATTAAAAGTTTTTTGAGCAAAAAAATGACTCCATCCTCCTTTTAACTTTTTTTGATCCTCATTTGTTTGTCATAGATATGATTGGACTTTTACAAAACTGGTTTCCCTTTGATTTTGGAGAAAGAACTGAAGTTTAAAGATAAAATGTGCAGTGTTATTTATGGCCAGTCAAAATTTTTTACAGGTAAAAGTAGAGCTGAACATATCAGAGACACTACTGTCATGAAGGTTGTTTTTACAAGGGAATGTTCATT